TTACGTATTAAACGTCGTCGTCGTCTTAAATCATCTTCCCATGGATCCAATTTCCAAAATAATCTTGAACTATTTAAATAAACTGTTTTATCATTAATCATCATCATCAAAAATTTTTCTTGGAAACGTAATGCTATAACTTGATGTCGTTGTCTTACTGCTGTTATAAAATGTTCTTCTGATTTACGTTCAACAGTTGTTTGTGCTAATAATTGTTCAAATTCACTTGCTTTACGTATATCATCAGCACGCATACGATTAAGTATAAAATCAGCTTCATTAGCTACTTTAACAATATGATCTTTACTTGCATGAGATAATAAACGTCCTTCATTAACTAATTCAATAAAAGCTAAACCAGCATGTTTCTAAAATCAAAACAAAAAAAATGCAAAAATTTTCTTTTTTTAATTTCAATAAAATTTTTGTCTATAGAATATTATTTAATATTCTAATTAAAATAGTTTTCAAGATAAATTCTTATAAACAAAAAAATTTAAATATTACTTGAAGAGAATTTTGCCATTCTTGTGAACATAAAAGCATAACAAGTTCAACAACTGATGCTGTTTGTTTAAGTGCATGTAAACCATTAGGTAATAATTCTTGTCCATATGAGCCAACTAATGTTTTTGTAAGTATATGTGAAAATTCTATAAATATATCACGTAAAAATGGTGCTATATTCGATAATGCTCGTTCTAATTTTTCTGTTATATTCATTGATGATTCATTTGAATTAAAGTTTGCTTTTGGATAATTGGGAAGTTTTGATTCAGTTAATTGATTTTTATTTATTGTTATTGAATCACTAGTAAGAATACTAGCAATATTTGCTATAAAAAAAATGTTATGGTTACTTCTCTACATCATATATACCGTATTGAGTAGCTGTAGCACTTGTATTATTTATATCGATTGAATTTTTATTAGTCGATTGTAAATTTATTTTATTAACTTCATTATTATCATCAATAACTGTTGACTCATCATTATTCTACTACAAAATACACAATTTTTAAAACTCTCCCCCCCCCAAAAAAAAATTAATTTAATAAAATTCATACTTGATTATTTGTAATCGATGTTGAATCATTTATACTAACTGTATATACATTTATCTCACTAGTCGAACCTAATAAAAAAAAACAAAGTTTCTAACAAAGAAATAACAATCTACTTAGGGCAAACCAAAAGTTCATAGAGCGGTTTTAAAGAACCAGGTCGGATAAGGTAACCTATTTACAAATGAAAAACCAAATATACCATGTTCTAGAACTTTTTGAGGTGCGTCGAATGGTATATAATAAATCCTGTTTTCATAAGACTTTGAAGAAACTAGAGTCAATTTACTGATAGACGACTACGCACCCACAATCACATCCACCCATACCCACATTGACAAGATGATCGGAGATGCTACATATATGAGGTTGTAGTCCGTCAAAAACTGCAAAATTGTATGTGAGAAAAAATATTTTACAAATACTTTCGACTAATCCCAAGGACAACAATATTCAGTAACCTATCATACTTAGGTGAAGGTGTGAGTATGGGTGCGTAGTCGTCTATGAGCAAATTGACTCTACTTCCTTCAAAGTCTTATGAAAACAGGATTTATTATATACCATTCGACGCGCCTCAAAAAACTCTACAACATGGTATATTTGGTTTTTCATTTCTAAATAGGTTACTTTATCCGACAAGGTTCTTTAAAATCGTTTTACGAATTTTTGGCTAGTCCTAAGTAATATATTCATACCATGTCGAATACTAGGTGTTGTACTTATAATTGATGGTTGTCTAGAAAAATTTATTTGATTTGTTTCAATTATATCTCGATATCTTGATACCATAAGTACTGATGTAAAAAGTAAGAATTAATATAAGAGGGAGCACTATAAAAACGTTTTTTTTTCCCCAATGTTCTTGATACTTCAGTTTTAGCAGTCCCTTCAGAGTCTACAAAGTTTATAGTCTCGCACTGTTTTATTTATCTTCTAATACAGTTTGAAAACTTGTGTTAGAAGTAGTCACTAGCAAATCATATTCTATAGGAAAACTGGTGTGATATACTTGTTTTATAACAGTATATTTGATCTGTCGGACGAAAAAAAAAAAACAATTTTTCTTTTTAAAAATATTTCTAGTCATTTTTGTTGTTCGTTTACGTAATCCAATGTCAAATCCTGCAACATTAACCGATACAGATCCATTAATACAATGTGATTTAATGGAATCTCGTGATGCATTTTTAAATTTTGCTCGTGAAAAACATTGTGAATTTTCTTCACTATGTCGTGCAAAATATTCAACAATGGTTTCATTAATTGAATTACATTCATCAACAGCCGATAAAATATCTTATACATGTAATTCATATCGACAATTATGTGATATTCGATATCATTGTACAGTATGTGAAGATTATGATTTATGTAGTAAATGTTATATAACAATAAAATATGAACATCGTATGGAACGTTCCGATGATACAAATGAAATAAAAACAAATTCGGATACAACAATTAATATTCAACAACAAAGACAATTAACAATGCAACGAATGTTAGATGCTATATGTTATGCTGTACAATGTCGAAATGCAAATTGTATATTTAAAAATTGTTCATTATGTAAAAGATTATTACAACGTACAAAAGAATGTACAAAAGCATCAAGAAGTCAATGTCAACCATGTA